TATACACATATATATTTATGATATATTTTGTGCATATACATATATACATTTATATTTCTATATTCAGTTGTGCTCAACTCTTCCTGACCCCGTTTGGGGTTTTCATTTTTTATGTGTATTTATTTTTATGTGTATATATACATATATATTTATTTGTATATAATTTATATGTATATAAATTTTGATAACATTTTCAATATAATTGGTTTCCAGGGGCAGCTGGGTGGCACAGTGGATGGAGGACAGGCTCTGGATTCAGGAGGACCCAAGTTCAAATCTAGTCTCAGACATATAATACTTACTAGCTGTGTGACCCTGGCAAGTCACTTAACACATTGCATAGCCAAAAAAAAATTTATATATATATATATATATATATATATGAAAAATTGGCTTCCTTTATAATCCGATGTATTTTATCTTCTGCATTTACAAATATTATTCTGAAAAGGGTTCCTAGGCTTCACCAGTCTATCAGAAGGGTCTGGACCCTGCAGGTGTATGTGGGGCAGGAAGTGGAGGGGAAGGGCACAGCCTTCTTATTACTGAAAAACATATTCCCTGTGTCTCCCCTGTATGCTCTCTTCTGCAAACTAGGCATATCTATGGACATTTGAGGTTATAATTGATCATTTGAGTCATACTTCAGGAACAAGCCCTTCATCAACCACAAGGAAAAATCCCAAGCCAATAATCGTAGCACCTTATTATAAATGTTTAATGATTGTTTCTCATACTCTTCCCACGTTGCCACAGAATGTGCAATTTTGCCAGCTAACAGGCTTTCATTGAGTTCCTTTCCCAGAATTCCTTATACCTTTCCCCTGCCTTCAAAACACGATGCTTTACTATTTGCTCTTTTTTTCTTCTGTTTTGTTTCCTCTTTCTTGTGCTTCCTTTTATTGGTTCTAATTCCTCCTTACAACATGACTAATGTGAAAATATGTTAAAAGGAATGCATGTGTAGAGCCTAATATTAGATTGGGTGCCACCTTGGAGAGGGAGGTGGGGAGGGAAGGCGAGAAAAATTTAAAACTCAAAAACTTATGGAAATGATTGTTGATAAATCAAAATAGATTAATTAATAAAATAAAATAAAAAATGATGCTTGACAGAAGCCAGTTTAATGTGCACATCCTGCTGCCCCTAATGATATATTCCATGAAAAACTGCCTCTTTCCAATCCAAATGCAGACACTGAGGTGATGGCTGTTCCCTCTCCAGCTGCAGCCAGGCTCTGCTGCTCTAGGAAAGGAAGAGTTCCTTTATTCATAGGGGACTTAGCCCTGACCTGGACCTCACACCACACCAGATGGCCACAAAGTACTCCCTGAGCAGTAGTATGTCATAGCGCATAAGTTACAGGTATGTAACTGTCTCACTCAGGAAAGAAGACAAATGAAGTCATCTCCATGGGGATAGTTACCAGCCCTTTCATTGGTTAAATGAAGTGGCCAAAAGCTAAGGGACTTAAGATGAAAATGGTTAATTTCAATTATTGCATAATAAAATATATCAACTGAGTAAAATGAACTCTTAAGAAAAAATAAAAATAAATCACAATTACCCGTATTTCACCACTAGATCCTTTTACTTCAATTCAACAAAAATCAATTTGACACAAATTTGACATACCTGTAATACACAAGGCATTGTGATCCATGTTGGCTATACCAATAATGAAACAGTCCCTGCCCTTAAAGGACTACTATCTCTTTAGAAAAAATCATTCCTAAAAAGTCAATTTTCAAAATCAAAATCAAAATAAAATTCAAAATTAAAATTAAAAAAATAAAAAATGTGATTTTCATTAGCTGGTTATGGCTAGAAGAGGTCTTAGGGATCACCTAGTCTCCTTGCCTTCATTTTACCGATTAGGAAATTGAGATGCCAGGGAATGACCCAACTTAAAATGTTACTAAACCATACTTCTGGTTAAGTTAGTTATTCAAAGATGGAAAGGCTGAGGAAGATGTTATAGCATGGCTAATCTAATAAGGACATTCACTTTACTGTCCCCTGTCTCTTCCTCCCCCCTCCCCCCAGCATCACCACGTTCATTCTTGTGCTCATGATTTTGTTTGTCCTCACCTAAAATGTTGTCTTATCTCTCCACCTTTCTAAATCTTTACCAGTCTTCAAGGTCCTACTCAAATTCAACTTGCTGCATAAAGCCTTTTTTTTAAGTGTTTATTATCTCTCTCACAACCACACTGCCCCTGGATAGAATAATTTTCTAAACCCTTACAATAAATATGCAGAATCTAGCAAAACAAGTTCCCACATTGGCCACGTCCAAATATGCATGTCTCATTCTGCATTTTAATTCCATCACTTCTCTGGAAGGGAGTTCATATTCAGTCCTCTGAATTTTTAAAAAACACATTTTAATTGACTTTGTTGAACTCATAGAGGATCATCTGACCATCATACAATTTAGTCCATGATTATCCCTTTTTGTCATACCCTCTAGTAGTTTTTCCATGTCTCCTAAAGCAACTTGTAAGCTGCTAAACTTGTCTTGCATTTCCCATAACACCTAGCTGACTGACTCATTACTGAACTCCAAGAATTCAGTAGTTGAATGAACAGATACTATGATCAACAGTCAAATATAAAACTAAACAGAGAATTAAGTGTTTTCAGAAGCCCCCAGAGCTCCAAGGTGAACCAGTGCATGGATGTGCATCAATAGCATGCAATTAGCATCCATTCAAGACCTATCCCGCCAACCTCCTTGAAATAAATCTAAAGATTTAGGTATTGGTTAGGGAAGGAAATGCTCTCATGTACTCATACCCTGCTGAAATGGATACTCAATTACCATTTATTAAGTGCCTATTGTGTGCCTTAATAAAAATTTATTAAATACCTACAATAACATTTCTTGAGTGCCCAAGTGCTAAGCATTAGGGATACAAAGAAAGGTAAGACAGTCTCTGCTCTCAAGGAGCTCACATTCTCTGGCATGAAGGTATTTTTACTGCCCCAAAAGCTATGCACTCTGTTCTACAAAAATTTCACTTTGGGATGCATAACAAAATAAAAAATTTATAATTTATAAACATAATAAACAAATAAAAAATTAGCATCTACTTAATTATCTGTAATGATAAGTGACTAGAAGTCCACACATGCAAATAACTGGAATTCACAGATACTACTTTTTAACCAACAACTTCTAGATCATCTCCCACCAAAACCCTTAGAGCTGTGAACAAGCAATGGACTGATTGGAGTTTTACCTCCTCTTTCCATTGCCACTGGTTTGCAAGAACACTCATGAGGCCATCAAAAGGTCCCAAAGTAGAGGCAAGAGAGAAAATGGGCAGCTCCAGCCATTTGAGTCTCTTATATAATGGAATCTCAGCATTGGAAAGGTCCTTAGAAGACATCTAATCCAACCCCCTTCGTGCTGCACAAATCCTCCCTATATCATCCCCAAAAGGTCATGAAGCCTTTCAACACCTCCAATAACAGGAAGCTCACTACCTCATGAGTCTGTCTGTCCCATTTTTGTACACTGGAAAGTTCTTCATTGTGCTGAGGGGGGAAAAAAATCTATCTCCCCGAAACTTTTATCCACTAGTTTGGGTCCTGCTCTCTTGGGCCAAAAGGAACAACTCTAATCCTTCCATATTCTAGTATAATACTTAAAGGTAGCTATAATGTTCCCCTCTAAGCATTCTCTCCCCTAAGATACACATTCCTAATCAGTCCTCATGGGCCTTAATAGATGTAGATAATCACCATTTGAAGAATTAAAGAGACTGTATGTACTCTCAGGACAAGGTACAAATTCACTGAGGAATTTCAAGGTAACACTGGGCATACTGAGGAATACACAATTACAACACTGGATACAAACAATTCATCAGAAGCCCTCACTCCTGAACACATGCCATTCATCTCATCTTTTCATTTAATTTTGAAATGCAAAGCTCTCCAAAGTTACTGAGCTGCAGAGGCTATGCGTCTAGACCCCACTGGGTAATCATGCTTTTCTTTTGCAGCAACTGGGGGAAGAGAGTGAATGAGAAGAAATAGAAGCTGCACTACCCTCCAAAACCAGATCTCATAGTAAGGATTGGGACATCATGAAATTAAAATGTTGGAGTGGTAAAGAGATCAAGTCTAGCCCCCCTCATTTTATAAATGAGGAAACTGAAGCCCATAGAGGGAAAATGACTTACTAGTTAGTATCAGAGCTACCTAGAACCCAACTCTCCTAACCTCCAGGTCAATGTATTTATAGTATACTGTTAAATAAAATGTGGTCTCCTCAACATATATACACATAGTTATATATACACACTTATGTGTATATGTGAGTGTGTGTGGAGAGAGAGAGAGAGAGAGAGAGAGAGAGAGAGAGCACGCACTGGCCAGAGTCAGGAAAACCTGAGTTCAGTTGCATCCTCAGGCACTTTGGCTGTATGACTCTAGGCAAAGGTTAACCTCTGTCTGCCTCAGTTTCCTCAACTATAAAATGGGCATCATAATAGTACCTACTTTCCAGAGTTGTTGTGCACATCAAAGGAGATGATATTTGTAAAATGCTTAGCACAGTACCTGGTCCACAGTAAGTGCTTAAAAAATCCTTCTTTCCTCCCTAGCAGGCACTTAACAAATGCTTATTGATTGCTAGACTGGTTTCGCTGTGCTGCCTACCTTAACGCTGTCATAATGCTAGTTTTGAAGAACAAGGAGAACACCTAAATGACACCTTTCCATGATGAAAGAAACCTGTTATATCAGTCATTGTATCACAAAGGGAATGGCATTGTCGTCGTCGTCATCATCATCATCATCATCATCATCACCTTTGACACTCACCTTCTTTGTTCACTCTGGTGTGCCTAACTACAGTTTTCCCTTCCACATCACCACTTTCCCCATCTTGGTAATGATATATCTGGAGTTGGCATAAGAAATTAAGTGGGAATTCTGGGGGAGTTTTGTGGAAGCCACAGATGACGCACAAAGGCCAAAGATGACACAAAGTTTAGAAACTCAGAAATGCATAAAACGTATGTATAGTATTGTATAATATCAACATATTTTCTTTTAATACCATAATAATTCAAACCCTCCTCTGGAACGAAGGGTCAAAAAATTTCATGCAGATTTTCCAGATCACTGGGGGGGGGGCGGGCGCAGGGAGGAGGCGGAGAGAGAGGGCGTGCACAGAGGCACCATGGTCCTAAACCCCACAATGTGGAAGGGATAATAACATACTATAAATATCATAACAAGGAAGAGGCAGGGGAAAGGAGGAAGGGAAGGTGATAAAGGGAAATAGAAGAAAAGGAGAAGAAAGAGAATTCATATTTATACAACTCTAAAAGGTCATAAAAAACACTATTTAGGAGATATGATTGGAAAAGGAAGTTGGCTGGTAATGTGGTAAGACTCCGAGAGAGTAGAGATACAGTCCTCTCTTATGCTCTCCTAGTACCCACATACCCAAAGACCTAAAAGAAAGCCTGGCATATATGTAAGTGTTAGTTTTATTATTATTATTACATGCTCACTGAGATATCAGGTTAATTCAGACTATCAAATATGCAAAACTTTTAAAAGGTTAACTCACATTATTCCTCTCAGTTTAGAGCTTACCTCCGACAGAAGAGAAACATTCTATACTTGCCTAGAAAAATCAACAGACAAGGATCCCTTTTATTCCAAGACTGGTTCGGTCTCCTGGCAGCAATCTTGCTAACAAATGTTTGATAAAATCAAAACCAGACACATTTTCTATTAAATCAGGGAACAGCTTTCAATGTAAACAGTAACCGGATTATTATATGAATATCATTAGTTCCCCTCATTACTAAAGCATTAAATATTGGTTTAATTTTTTTTTGATGCTTCACATTTGCCAAAATTTTGCATTCTTTCAGTATGCCTCTGTCCTACTATTACACCTTTAGTTACTGCTGCACTTCTCTGTGGTTCTCTCCCCATAAGTTAATTGGAGAGCTCATGCAATTATCTGAATAATTCAGATATGCACTGAATGAAAATAAGATGGTTTGGCCTTGGCCAAATTGCTTCATCTATAAGGTTAAATTTACTCCTTATTTGCCAACAACCCATTCCCTTTTATACCATGCACAGACAGTCCATGTCTATGTGAATAAATTTAGATCATATATCAAAAAAAATTTCATTCAAAAATTTCATCAGCATGGAAAAAATCTTGCACTAATATAGATTACAATTGGCAGTGAAATACAGTGATGGAAACAGAGTGGGACTTGGAGTCAGAGGATTTAGATTTGAATCCTCACTCTGTCACTTACTGCCTATGTGACCATGAGCAAGCCAATTAATCTCTCTAGGCCTCAGTTTCCTTATCTGTAAAATATGGAAGCTTGATTAGATGGTCACTGAGGTCCTTTTAGGATCTAAACCCATATTTCTAAACTACCATAATTTACCAGATGCTACTTATGAATTGTTATGAGTGTGTGTGTGTGTGTGTGTGTGTGTGTGCCTTGGTTCATTTAGCTAGGCTGCTTCTTGGGCAATAGACACCAAATCCACTATTAAGCCTCTAGTTGAAGCTTTCCATTTTGTATTATCTTTTTGAAATTGGAGTCTGTAGTTAAGCCTGGAAAAATCCAGGGTTACCTTTATACTACAATAAGTGTCAAAATTGGACTTTAGTTATAGGTTTAAATAAGCAGCTAAATTTTTTTTTAAAAAATGAAACCATTTCCCCCCTCAATTCCCAACAGTGCCTATCACTGTAATGTGTGTATGCACAGATACTCATTAACAATAAGTATTATTGGTCAGCTCACTGGTCAATGACTCAGGCAAAGAACTGAACTGAATTGAAGAAGGAGGGCTAGATTCTATTTAGGGAATTGTTTTCAACAATCCCAAGCAGCTCCCATTTTTTAAAAACACCATACTTTTTTGGTGAGTATAAGTGGACTATACCCTATTACCCACAATAATTTGTGAGCATTGGGGTATCATTGAGGAATTGTATGACCAGCAAAGGAAGTGGGACAGTCATATAGTTAAAGCAAAGGATGACAAGAGGACAGTCAGGGTACTGGTACCAGAGGAATAACAGAAGACCTAGAGGAATACCTCTGTAAGTTGGGAAGATCTTCATAGAGGATTAATAGGATGGCAGGATCAGGGAAGGAAGGAAGGAAGGAACAAGCATTTATTAAGCACCTGCTATGTGCCAGATATTGTGCTAAGAATTTTACAAATATTATCTCATCTAAAACTCACAACCCTGGTAGGCAGGTGCTATTATTATCTTCATTTTACATGAGGAAACTGGGCAGACAGAGATCACACAGCTAGTATCCATGGCCACATTTGAACTCAAGTCTTCCTGACTCCAGGCCCAGCTCTCCATACACCGACACCTACCTACCTAGCATACATACAAGATGGAGAGGAGGCCTCCATGGCTTACTATCTACACAGCAGGAGACAGTATCCACAACGGCAAAAGCAAAGATGTGTCAAAGAACTGAATAAATATTGTTGCACCAAAGTAAACACAAGTTCTCTGAGACGATAAGTAGCAGATTATCAGTAGGACTGGCTTAAGCTCAGACTGCCACCAAAACAAGAGATGACGATATTTCTTTTAACCAAACGAACAGGTGTATACCAAATTAACTGCTTACGAACAGCTCCTAAAAAGAGCACTGGACTTGGGGAAGGAGTGAAAGGGTGCAGAAGATCTGTACCACTAACAGGATACTTGACCTGGGAATTCACTCATTGGCTTTGGGGCTCTCTTTCTTCATGTACATACAGGCAGGTGTTGGACTAAATGATACTCTGGGGCCCTTCCTCCTCTAAAACTGTCTTATTCTACAAGGTGGCATACAGTGAATATATCGTGGATGTTCTTTGTTTTCCTTTCTCGTGATATATTATAAATTGAATATCAAATATCTATACTTGCTCAAACTACCTCTGCCACAATTTAATTTAAATAAATGGATTTTAGTGTATAAGATGCCTTAACTTTTCAGTCATTCCCTCTAAGTATCAAATTTCTTCATCCATTCATTTCCCATTTACTCTTCCCTTTTATACTTCTGTAGTTCTGTGTTCTGTTCTTCTGGCTCTGATTTTTTCAATTTAAATTATTTCATAGAAGTTCTTTTTTTCATATAGAGGCACCTAGAGGACATGATGGATAGAGCTCTGGGCCTGGAGTTAGGAAAACCTGAGTTCAAATTCAACCTCAGACATCTACTAATTGTGTGACCCTGGACTAGTCACTTAACCACTGCCTGTTTCAGTTTCCTCAACTGTAAAATGGGGATCATAATAGCATCTACCTCCCAGAGTTGTCATGAGGATAAAATGAGATAATATTTGTAAAGCACTTAGCATAGTACCTAGCACATAGTAGGTACTTAATAACAAATATGTGTTCTCTCCCCTGCCTTTTCAATTCTTCATCTTAATTTCAGCCTGGTCTCAATTAGTGTGAACGATGAATCTCAAGAAATAGTCCAATGTATTCAGGCTCATGCTATTCAAAGCCATAATTTATGTAAAATATGGTCACTGGAAATATGCAATAAGGATTTGAAAAATGAAATCACTTCAGGGGATTCATTGATCACACTGATACTATGCCACTACATTAATATGCCACAACTTGTCTAACCATTCTCCTATTGTGGGACATTAAGACTGCTTTCATATGTATTTTTGCCTTTATTTTGCAACCACAAATAAGGAGTGCTCTTTAAAAAAAAATAACCTTCTGAATAGCTTTTAAAAATATAACATTCTCATACTATAGCACCAGAAATGGAATTATGGGATAAAACAGTATGATCATTTAGAAATTTTAGCTGTGTAATGCCGGATCACTTTCTAAAAATAATCCCCCAGTTTGGAGTTCTACCAACAATGAATGAGTTTGCCTGCTTCTCTACAACACTGACATTCAGTGACAGTGCTCATTAATTATTCTTGTCAATTTGGTGCATCTAATATGGTGCCTCAGAATGGGTTTAATCTGCACCTCTTACTTAGCAATGAGGCTGAGAAGTTTTCAAGTGACTATTAACAATTTATGTTTCTTCTCTCTCTCTCTCTCTCTCTCTCTCTCTCTCTCTCTCTCTCTCTCTCTCTCTCTTTCTCTTTTTTTGGTAAACTGTTCATAACCACTGACTATGTATTAGAAACTAGGATTGTAGATTTTAAATTGTATCTGTGTATTATTATAAATATTTATGTGAAATACTTTGTTTTCTTATTTTCTTATTTTTGCTGTATAAAATATTTTATTTTCATGTAATCAAAAACATTTCTTTTCCCTAGTAATTCCTTCTATTCCTTAACTAGAAACAAAGTCATATTCCTTTTAGACAGATATCTTATTCCATTTTCTTCCACATTTTATGTAGTCTTTTCTAGGTTTATCTATCATCTCTGTATATTCTTTTTATCCCTCTCATGCCCATTTTTGCCATTATAAAGTGCTATTTTTAAAAAAAATTTCCATGTTATTGAATTCATGATTTGATGTGAGAAGTTTCTAGGAAAGCAAAGAATGTGAAATAATTTCAGACAATAGGCCTCCTAAATATGAAATACAAAAATAAATTCTGCCAGCAGCATATTGGAAAAGATCTGAATTTAAAACTTAACCTATTCACCAAATTTTATGCTAAAAAAAACCACTGCCACTAATATTTTCCCATTGCCTTCTGAAATATAATTCTATCTTTATACATTTCACATACAAATATAGGGATAAATAATGAAAAATTTAAAATACCATGTCATGAACCTGAAATTCAGATAGCTCAGTACTAAAAAGCCTGCATATGCTTGAAGAAGAGAGATCTCAAACAAGGTAAATAGTCAGAGGTCAGTATCCAGCCTTCTCAGAGTTGAATGAATGAGAGAGAAAAGTATTCAGAAATTTGCAAAGGACATCACAGGGCAATTTCTCAGTTTTACCCATTTGACATCTCTCTCTCTCTCTCTCTCTCTCTCTCTCTCTCTCTCTCTCTCTCTCTCTCTCTCTCTCCCCCACCTCCCTCCATATACATATATATATATATATATATATATATATATATATATATACACGCATGTGAATGTGTGTATATATGAATATATATATAACCATGAATATATTCATATATATGAATATGACTGTTTCTATTTAAGAAATAGAAGGAACTACTGGGGAAAAGATAAATATATACATATATGTGTACAAACACACACATATATTTAAATTCTGAAGGATATATACAATCAGTATCTAACTAAAGAACTGAGATTTACCACTCAGCTAATTGTATATGACCATATGGCCTCCTATAATGACAATAATAATAGCCCTCTGCAATTAGATTAGATCATTTTTTCTAAATATCGTCAGGCCAAATACGTTTTTCCCCATCAGAAACCTAGAAAATTGTAATTATTTCCAAAAATAAGATCTTATTATTATTTTCCAAGCCAAAGGCAATGAATATAGTCTGAATATAGTCATTAGTATGACCTGTTTCTTTTCTTTCTGGCAGATCCAAAATACACACTTTTAGGGAAATACTCAAGGCCAGGTAAGGAAGACCTTAAGGGAAAAACATTGTATTATGTATTTCTGTTCTTCCTGAAAAAAATGCTCTAAAGAGAAACCATAATTTCTCCCTACTTTCCTAGAAATAGGATGTTGATTCCTGAGATGAGTAATCTGAACACTGCTGAGTAGAAATGCACAAACAGCCCCAGCCTCTAAGAGACATTTAACAGAAAGGAGCAGCAGAGATCTCTCCCACAGAGCCACACAGCATACAAATTTGGCCATTACTGCAAGCTTGAACATCTCATGCTGTACACTGCACTTCAGAGGCCACATAAAAGATCACAACAAAAGGAAACCTGCAGCTTGTTGCCTTGATTAGATGAAATGCACTGGGTGGTAGAGACAGAGATTTTTATGTGAATTTGTTCAAATACAAAAATAATTTTTTTTTCTCTGAGTGCTGGCAGCAAAATTCAAGGATAATGTTGGAGGAAAAAAGGAAGTCACTGAAACACCATGCCACAACCTTGGCTTTACCCTCCTGCTATAAATACATACTTATCCAAAGAGCAGGGACAAGATTATAAGGTTTTTTCCTGGTACTGCACACTGAGTGGGATTTGATGGTTACTATGCTGGGAGTTTGTAAGATACTGTAAAAAATTCCAGTTTATCAAAAATTTAGAAATAAAAAGTTCTCGACAGAACATTTTGGAAACCTAGTTTGAGGAATACCACATTATTCCAATGAATGGGAATCATCTTTTCCATTTCATAAACAGAGCCATTAGACACATAAGGCGGGTCTGATTCCAGGCACTGTACAACCTACATAGACCACCCTGCCTTAAATGAGGGGGAAGGAGTGTGTTCATGAACAGAAATTAAAGCAAGATTGGTGAAAACAAGACAGGTTGCTTGAAAACAGACGTGGACAGGACTGGCAGAAGAGGCTAGACCGGAGCTCTGAACTCTGAGGCAGCACCAAGGAGAGCTCTCCATGGGCCTTTGTACTCCTCTCTCTCCTCCCCCTGCTCCTGCACCCCTACTTCAAGTAGATCCTAACCCACATACGGACTTTTCCAGCACATACATAGGGCTTTTTAGCCAAGTTGAATGAATAACTTATGTGTTAACTCATACTTCATGAACAAATTAATGGGAGCTCAAGACTTCTTAATAGAGTTCTTAAGCTTTCCAAATCTACACCCCACTGTTCCAAGCATAAAGCCCCCAATATGGTACCCACTTGGGCCACTTCTCTTTAGTCTGTATTCCTACTCAACAGCCCTCCTACCAGTTTCCTCCTATATCACATCTTATCCAAATCCATTACACTATGCAGTAGTCTACACACAAGATTTTTTTTCCCCCTAAGGTAACAATTAGCTAATCTGAGAAATTCATTATACTGATGTACTAAGAAGGCTATAGGAGGTCCTCAGTGTCCTCCCTGCAGTTATAAGGACATGTGTGTTATAATGAAAACTTTCAGACCTCAAAGCCATTAGGACTGCCTCTGTCACACACACTGGTGCATGACCCTGGGCAAATCCCTTGATTTCTCAGTGATATGGGCAGCTGTCTATAGACTATATTTCAAAGAAGGTGCCAATTTACGTTGGAAGAGAGCGACTCCTCACCTTGCAGTTCCTTACACCAATGAAATCATAGATCCAGTCCCTATCTTAATATATTTCTATTCATCAAGGATTGGCAGATTTATTAATGTGGATATTCCCTCTACTGCTATAGCCCACAGTCCCTAACTAACTCAGCAGAGGGTCTTTAAGAGGTGAAGCAGATGAAAAATGGATCACCTGTGGTCAGTCTGGTGATGAGCCTCTCCAGATTTAGCTAGGCTAAGGTGGACAACAGGCATATAATCTGTCACCAGACTTATACATGGCTTATACTCTGTTGGCATAGTATAAAAGAGCTCATGGTTACCTCTTTATCACAATGAGGCATTGGAATGGGATTTTAGTTTAAGTGTTTTTTCTTTTCATTGTAGTCACATATATATTAAACAAAAAATATGCAAAATATAGTGCTGATGAGGTTGGTATAAAGTCACTCAGGATCAAATAAGAATATATCTATATATTATATATTGATAGAACTATAATTATTAATGTGTGTTATATAATATGTATTATGTTTATATTAAATTATAATGATATATGTACTATAATGTATTTATAGAATTATATGATATTATATTAATGATTATAAATAAAGACTTCAGCTACCTTCGTGGCCTTTGGAACAAATTGTTTTCACCTACCCATTCCACAGGAAAGTCTTCACATGCTTGGGGTAGACATCTCCCTAACTCATTGACTGGTTTGAGGCCTATTGGTTACCCTCAACCTGGTGTAGCCCATCAGCTGAGATGGTTTTACCAGGGTTTGGCCACTATACGTGCTATAGCTTCTTGGAGCCACAGATGAGAGTTGGGTTACGGGCGAACACCAAAAGTGGATGAGCGGCCCTGAAAAGGACTCAGCAAGCCCTCACACTGGAGGTGCTAGGCCTCCCTGAACACCTCATACATCACTGAATGTGTGTGTGTGTATGTACATGTATATATACATATATACATGTATGTGTGTATCACACTGACTATATATATATATATATACACACATATATACACACTATATATATAAATATTATACTGTAATACATGTAGACACAGAGGGGAGGGGAGAGGAGAGGGAAGGGGGGGAGAGAGAGAGAGAGAAAGGGAGGGAGAGGGGTGAGTGAGGAAGAGAGAAGAATCAGTGTGGCATGGTAGATGAAGAGCTGGCCTCAAAGTTAAGAAAACCTGGTTTGAGGTACCACCTCTGACACGTACTAGCTGTATGACCCTGGGCAAGTCACTTAATCTCAGTATATTATCAATTCTCTGAAACTATAATTTGCAGAACAGTTGTCATTCAGCATTAGTGAAAGGTTTTCCTTACCTTGAGCTCCCTATGCCAATGAAATCACAGATCTAGACCCTGAAAAAAGTTAGATCAGTAATGCTCATCCAGATGCAAAGCTAGACTTTTTGATGATCATCAGGACATAAACAAAAACCAAATCAGGTCAATAGGCATTTTACAAAGTGTTTTACTATGTGCCAGCAAAAACGTGGTCTCTGTCCTCAAGTAGCTCATGTTCTAATGGGAAAGCAACATGCAAACAACTGTGTACATACATGAGATAACAATGTAAATAGAAGATAATCTTGGATCTTTAATGGTCCTGATGACTTTGGTCTCCCACTTTGGGGTTTGCAGTGTGGAGCATTGCTTCTTTCTCACCACACATGAGTTAAACATCCCTGTGAGAAGAAGACCCATTTAATGAACAGCATGGGCTTCAAGCTTTAGGAGGGGGGATAAGAAAAAAGTCTTGGCCAGTAATCAAACACTGTAGGATCATTTAACAGCTACCTCTGCATCCTAGAGATCCATTTCGAGTAATATCAGGTAAGGCCATACATCACAAACAATAGGGCCTAGGACAAGTCACACTGAGTAGGTTCCCCACTTCCTCCCCTCAGCATTTTTACAAGATTAAAATAAAGACTGAAAAGAACATCAGAGGCAACCCTGAGGGAGAAGTCACAAAAGGGACTGGCATAATTCATGACTTCTGAATGTTATTTATAATACTGGCATGTAACATATTGTGACATTTAACAAACTTAACAAAAGAATTTAAGAAAGCCATTCCAAATATAGGCTTCTAGGGGACAGGTAGGTGGTGCAGTGGGTAGAGCACCAGCCCTGGATTCAGGAGGACCCGAGTTCAAATGCGGCCTCGGACCCATAACACTTACTAGCTGTGTGACCCTAGGCAAGTCACTTGACCCCATTGCCTAACCAAATTTAAAAAAAAAAAAAACAAAAAACCAAATATAGGCTTCTAACAAGAATGGCAAAATAAGGCAATGGAATAAATATTGGACTGGGTTTCATAAGACCTGGGTTTAAATCCTTATTCTATTACTAAGTAGCTATTTTTTCTATACCTGTTTGCTCATCTGTCAAATGAGGAAGTTAGAGTAAATTATTTCTTTCCAACCCTAAGATTTTATGCTACAAAAATAACAATACAGGCCACCTCTGATAGATGAACCCTTGCCTAATGAAGGGCTTTTGTTGTTCAGTTCTTTCAGTCATGTCCAACTCTTCATGACCCCATTTGGAATTTTCTTGGCCAAAGATACTGGAGTAGTTTGCCATTTCCTTCTCTAGCTCATCTTACAGATGAGGAAACTGAGGCAAAGTGTTACGTGACTTGCCCAGGGTCACACAGCTACTGAGTGTCTGAGCCCAGATTTGAATTCAGGAAGATGAGTCAGATGATTCAGAACTACTCCTAAGAGAGCCAATGTTCTGGGAAGCCCGACTCTGGCTCCCCTGTTTCTTCTCTTATCCTGCACAGCCCCTCTTTTCATTTCCCTCTGGCCTAATGGCTAATCAGATTCTATGGGAGAAGTCACTATAAGGATATCTACCTCCCTGAAAGCACAGGGAGCTCCTGCTCTACATCCTCTGGCTCAATTCCAACCCCCAAACCTTGTCTGGAGCCATCAGAGATCTCCTATAACCCTTACTTCAAGAGAACTTGAGTTTCAAGATATTTTTTTCCACCAATCCATGTCTTTCACCTCTTTCAAAACTGACCTCAAACCTCTCTCCAAGAAGGCTTATTTATTACCTAAAATGGAAATTAGCAGTGGATAGAAGGGGTCTTATAGATATCAGCTATTACAACTTCTTCATTACTCCTCTGCAATGCAACCCCTCAGCACTCACATAATACAACTATACTGTTAATTGGCATGTCTGATATGTTGCTTTGTAATTGTATTTCAGTCATTTTTTAAAAATGGTTTCCACCTCCCCAGCAAGAATAAGAGCTTCTTAAAAAGAAAGAGACCATTTCTTGGGTTTCTCTTGTATACTTCCACAATGGTTAATAAATATAGAATTCTACACATAGTAGGCTCACACCAAATGCTATTTAACTGCTTGCCTGGTTTTTGTTCCAGTGAAACAAGGGAGCCATGCTTGCTGACTGACTGAGTGAGTGATTTTTTGTTGCACTGGAGGTCCTGGGCAAGCCCCATTTTGTATTTCAGTCTATTTTCCCATAAAAATGGAGATATTGTAAATATCACCTAAAAAGAAAATAGGACAACAGGCATTTATCAAGTACCTACTTTGTGCCAAGCATTGTGCTAAACACTAGGGATACAAACAAATATAAAAAACAAACCAAAAAACAGTCCCTGCTCTTAAAAAGCTCCCAGCCTAACAGGGGAGACAGAATGTGAACAACTATGTACTGACAATATATACAGCACGAACTGGAGATAAACTCATAGAGAAGGTACTAGAATTAAGAAAGATCGGGAAGCTCTTCTTGTAGAGAGTAGGATTTTAGCTGAAAGAAACAAGGAAAGCCAGGGTATGGAAATGAGGAGGGACAACATTCCAAGCACGGAGGACAGCCAACGAGAAGGCCTGGAGATAGGAGTGTCTGGTACAAGGAACAGCAAATGATCAGATGCCACATTCAGAATCCTTCCTAAATCCAAAATGGAGCAGACTGACTACATTTTGCCAATCACGTTAGAAGGAGTTAGATGATTCAAAATAATTTCTGTCTTTCCAAATACAGAGGCTAAGAAGTCATTTAAAGACTTACATATAGGCCAAGTCAGCATTTTAAACCCTCGAAGTAGTGACTAAATTTACAAACGATTTCAAAGGAATCTCTGAGGATTCTGTCTGTAGCAACCGAAC